GCCGCCTGTGATCATGCTGCAGTGACAGGAGGTAGGCTTGCTCCTGTTGCAACTGGCGTTGGAGTCGCTCCGCCTGCCGGTGTTCCTCCATCTCTCGCCATCTGTATTCCTTTGAGAGAACGCGTGAGTAGTTTAAGACATGACATTGACTGTACAGTGGACATGTCCCCATCCATCCCATTAAAAATGCACTTTTATGGCTGTTGTTGTTGTTGTTGTTGTTGTGTTTGTGGGGTTTTTTATTTATGTCATTTTTAAAGGGTAACCAAGAGCTAAGTTAGACCAATATGGCATGTGTCTCATGGTGGGAAAGTTGAAAGTGTACTGCTAAGCTTGACATGATTGAAGAGTTATGTCAAAACTGTTTTTTACTAACGGGAAAAAAAAAAAAAGAGTTAGTTATACTAAATCCAGTGTAAAGTTCATAAAACAATGATTTAGACCAACACTAGGCCATTGTATCCCGGGGTGGATTTACATATCATGTGTGCTTTTGATCTGCAACATAAGCACTCTAGCTCTTCACTGAATGCCAAGGTCTGTTCAGAAACTCGACCACCACACTAGAACTGTTCCACTTTAACATAAAGCCTCCTCTTACAGCCCAGAAAGCAGTGTGACCATACAGCACTTCTCATATGTGCCTGTCAGCCCACGATGCTAGCATAAATGGCCTTTTAATCAAGCTCCTTTGTTGTCATACTGTCAGTGCAGCTGTGCCCGACTGAGGGAAGCCTAGGACTGGCCGGACAAATGGATCCTATAGCTACTGAACAAAACAGATACAGTGCTTTACCAGTAACATGGCCTGCTCCTGGAGCAGCTGCTGCTGTAGAATTTCCAAGTGCCGCTGCTCCTCTTCTAGCTGTCGCCTGATATACTCCTGTCACATAGAAATTACCCAGCAATAAATTTATTCAAAAGGAATGCATCAGAACCCCTTGGGTGGAACACCACACGCTACTTCCCCAGTTCAGCTTTAACGAGAAACGCACTTCAGGATGGATTAGTGCCTGCAGAACAATTTAGGAAGCCCTGCCTCCTGAGCACCGGATTTTGGCGCCTTCCGTTCTGAAATTTGTACTCCTGCAAACGTTGCCGGCATGGGCCAGAGCTCATTTACGTATTTTGGAAGTGGTTTCAAGAAGCAGCAAAACGCACTTGAAGGTTTTGGAAAGTTAAAACACAGCAAGTCTGACTCAACACAGCCAACACAAAGTCACATGCAAGTTGTATTAAACATTAGTTTGTTGCACTGGTGCGATGAACTGTTAGCAACAGCTAGAGCCAGGCGTAGTGTAGGCAGACCTGGAGCAAGCTCCCCTAGAAGGGCTCTGCCAAGTGCAGATGGGACCTGCCCTGCCGTCTCCCCTGCTGCCCTCACCAGAAGCTTCTCCTGAGCAGACACTGCCAGCCTTGCTGAATTATGCGATGGTTATGACACAAACAAACATCCACCAGGAAACAGATATTAGACCAAACTCGCTTGCTCTTGTGATCTAGCCGTCTCTTCACCCGCAGCCTCAACAGGTCGAGAGGTTTACCTGCTGCTTCGTCTGACCTCCTAGAAGAACTCAAACTCTCAAGCACCAAACCCAAGCTGGTAACATCCTATCATGCAATTAATGGAAGTATGTAACATGTGCATGCGCACACACACAAGCACACGCACACATTTACAGTGTATGCATAAAGAAATTAATGGATCAGTGATATAGTGATGGGAGCTATAGAAAGTCTTGTGACAGACTGATGAGATACACTATACTGTTGTTACGCACGTTGGCTGAGCCATAGTTTGAGTTAACAAAAATTCTAAGAGGGGGCATGTCTTTTGTTGTAAAAAAAAATAATTCAGAATGGTTCAGCTTGGCCACATCAATTAACCATTTGTCATTATTGGCACTGTGCGTAATTAGCATTTCAACAGTTTAAAAAGCAGCTGGGGGAATACCCGGTGTCTGCCCAAAAGCAAATTGCTGTGCTGTAATTAGAGATTTTCCATATATTTATTCCCATTGGTTAGTCTTCTCTCCTTTGACTCAAAAATCTTTGAAATATATATGAACACAAGAAAATTTCTCAGTAACATGATCATCAAATACTCTCAAATACAGTGACTTTACATAAGAAAAAATTAAGGTATATCAGGCCAAAACCAGCATTCCTGAAGTTAATGGGAAATTTACCATCAGCCTCTAGAATGGTCTTGGCCCTTTATTTGGGATCAGTATTTTGCAGTACATGCATAGTAATTATTACTGTGATTATCACCCTGATTAAAGGTTTTAAAGGATTTTAAAACATGCAGATTTCATGCGTAAATACAGCAGCTGAATTTCACAGTTTAAAAGGTTTCTCACCTTTCAATGTACTAAGGGCACACTGACACAAGTTAAGATATACTTGCTGCCTGAACTGGCATACATTATTAGAGCTGATTTTAAATAGATAAAGAGAGAGATTGCGTATTTAAAGTTTTAGGGAGGAAAATCCTCTGCAGCTCAAAGGTTCCACCTCAAATTCAGAATATTCAAAGTTTATGACAAATCTCTGACCAGTTCTGGGTGCCAGAAGCTGACACGCAACAGAGGTGCCCTTCTCTGGGAGGCCTTCTGAACAGGGGCATGTCCTGCAAGAACCACTCATCCAGCAAGACAAGCCTAGAAACAATTTTCAGCCCCAGTGATGATTTCGCCAATTCTGACGGTTTTTAGTCAAGCCCACGGGCACAATTTGAATTTAGAATGAGTATCGTACCAAGTCTTCTCTTTTTGAGGGAATATTGAAGCTGCCAGAATTTTCCATAAAGCCCTACAATCTATGTTAGTGCACTTGCTGTCAGAGACAGCAAAGATGAAAGGGTCAGTGTTAGGTTGCCTATAAGCTGCTTTAGGCTTATTAATTTTTAAAAAATTAAATTAGAATTCAGAAGAAACAAACCTATTGCACACATATCTGTATCATGGACTCACCTGCTCCCTTTCTACCCTCCTCTTTTCCTCCTCTGCTCTTCTTCTCTCTTCCTCTTCCTTACGCCTCCTCTCCATTTCTTCCAGACGTCTTTTTTCTTCCTGTTCTCTCCGCCTTTGCTCACGCTCTTGTTGCCTTCGAGCTTCCCGTTCTCTTCTTTGTTGCTACAAAAAGCGAAAAGAAACCACAAAGTTTTACTTTTGTTGTTATCAAAGAAAGAGGTGGGGTTGTTTTTGACTGTGAAGAGAGGGATTTACCAGGACGGGCAAGCTCTGCAACTAAGGGACAAAACACTTTATGCAAGTGTTTCACCAGGAAACTAACTCATACCCAGCACACAACTAGTCCTATAAGCAGCTTCGCTTACTCTTTTGGGTTTCTTCACACACACACAAACACACAAAGTCACGTACCATATTCCTGACAATGGAGGTGTAGAAGCCTACTGCTGTTCTTCAAGAGAGGCTTACACTGAAATCTCAATCTTTGAACAACTATTCAACTCAAATCTTAATCAGAACGACAATTTTCTTGACTTTAATACATTATCTAAATGTTGCTAAAAGGGAATTATCAGCCTCACCAAATCAGCTGAAAATCAAAGGACAACTATCTGAGCTTTCAGTAAGCAGCTTCTCCCTTAACACAATGCATGGTCTGCTAAGAATTTGGTGTTGTTGAACCAACAACCAAGCTTGATTTAATACACTGCCCAAAACTTTGCCTAAGAGAGAAGGAAGGCTGACCAACAGCACCTCAGCCCCTCCCAGAACATCAAAAGCATCTATATGTAAAAGAGGAAAAACAGCTGAGCTAAACTTTTACATTTACACAGATAAGCTTCCATGCATGACCCAAATGCAAACTGGTGCTGATAAGTCTGTTCAAGTCTGAAAAGAACTTGGAAAACAGCTTCAGAAAGCATGAACTGACTCATTTATGTCTATAAAGCACCATGGATGACTTCAGAGGAGACATTTTAAATGTCCATACAGTCGTGACCAACTCTTCCCGCACTTCTACAGAAGCATCCAGTTACCCCACCTACCTCGAAATCCCAGGCAGCCACCCACAACTGCCTAAGTGTCAAAACACTCAGTTGTCTCCTGTTCAACCATCAGCTGGGAATATTTCTACATTTACTTCCACTATAGATCTCTACAATATGCTAAAAAATCATAGAAGAAATTTAAACCAAAAAAACCACACGCTCAAATCTAATCCCAAGAACAAAATGAGAACCTGCATGGGTTATTCCTTTTCACATTTAGGTTAATACTATCACCATTTTTTTTGTTGAAACAAGGCTGCTGAAGATTTGTCAGTCTTAAAGCCCTCTGAGTAGTCTTGCAAGGGCACTCAGATTAAGCTTTTATTGGGGTTCACAAATTCATGGTTATTGGTGCACGTTTCATAGTTATGCTTAACTTGAACAAGCAAAGGCCAATCTACACTCCCTGTGTTACTCCACAGGATGAGCTTTCTCTGCTCAGCGCGTTACCCTACATGAGCGAAAGCTCAACAACCTTTTCCAACTTCTGGAATCAATGCTGGCACGACAGTGGAGAAGAAACATTGGGAAGAAAAAAGGTGGTTAAGAATTAGTACTTAAATGAGCTGCTTTCCGATTCTCTTTAGCTGCAGTTTTGGGAAATACACAACTTTCTCAAAGATTGCTGTCCAAATACTCCCCTCTGTAACTGTGACACCTTCCTTCCTGGCCCATAGCATCATCCTGCGTTCCCTATCGCCTTCTTGTGCCACAAGACATAAGCTCTTTTCTCCCCCACGTTTTCTGTATCTTCTCAGAAATACAGCTTCCTTCCTCTTGCATGTCCTCTCCTAACTAAATGCATCTACCAGTCTTTTCTCTCTTGCTTAAGCAAGCTTTTTTCAATGAACGTAGATATAAAAATAGCTGAAGTGCTGCAAGGCAGCTACAGCATACAGTGCATTTCATAGATTTCACTGCTTTCCCTCCCTCATTTTTTAAGCACTGTAAAAGGATTAAGTAGGCACTTCTACTTCTGAATATACACGTCTGTGTCAAACAATTCCTATATTTAAGTCAATATATTCAGGTGCCTCTTGGCTAATCAAGTCAGACAGGCTCTTTGTTTAAGAAAACTAAGATGTGGAATACAATAATTCTGTTGCCCTGAGGACACAAGAGACAGCACACTGCTGGCTGATTAATATGCACATTTATCAACTCAAACACTTCTTAAACATATGAAGCCTGTCTAACAATATTGTGTTGACATTGTTAAGTGGATATATTGCAGATCTTCGGATGGCATCATTCTCACTACAAGGAAGATGGGCAGAGCTCAGGTCTTCTGCATGAAACAAATTCATCGCATCTTGAATCAACAGAGAAGTATTCAGCAATAATTATAAATAACTGAACTTAATATGAGAAAAATAAGTTACAAATCAACTAAGAGAGCTGATTTTCTGTGGCATCCTGAAATAAAAAAAAAATTAGCTGTTAAAAGACAGCCAGATTGCTAGCTCAGCACTGATAGTAGATATTTATTACCCAGCAAAAGAAGAAGAAAAAAAAAGGCTTCTCTGCCACCAGCGTGCATTTAAGTCAAAGATCCAAATCATAAATGTGCTATTGTCTATGCACCAAAGTACACAGAGAGACGGGGTTTCTTAGCATCACTTCCCCCTTCCCGTCAGACACCACCTCAGCCCCTTGCCAGGCAGGTGGGGAAGGAGGCATCCAGCATCCCAAGAGCCCCCCACAAACACCCCACAAGATCCCTTATTCACAGTCGCAGTGACAGAAAAGTTTCACTTCCTTTGCATGTGGCCTTTGAAACTTGAGCATTGAACTACTGACCACTAACAAAGTGAGATTTACTTTTAGCAAGCTCAGGGAAAGGAAACCTACAGTGGCAAGCATCTCTCAGGTCCTTGTCTACATCTTATCAAAGTGATGGCAAAGCTGGTTGGAGGCAAGTCATCATTGATCCAAGGAGGCTTCAGAGGCAGCCCTTTAGCTGACTTGCTACCATCTTTCTGTCAGAACAAGGTCTCCTTCCTGCCTGCCTCTAGCAACTCTTCCACAAGGACACACTAAAGCCCTAGTCATTGAGTTCTGTTTCTAAAACCTGAACTTCTGAATTGAATAAGTGTGAATTTTAGATATTATAATTCTTATCGCACACTACAAGAAAGGTCTGATGTAGAACACTGTTCTAGTACATGTCCAATAGACAGCAGATACAGATCTGGATTCCCTAAAATTATGGATGCATATACAGATCTTCTTTAGTTGGATACAGTATTACCAACTTTCTTGCACACGTCAGCTGAAAAGCTTATTTTCAAGGAGCTAACTGTTAACCAGAAGGTAAGGGCAGGAACTCTACAAAGACATTTCAGAGATGCCAAAACCGAATTTTGACAGAGCCCATACTGTCTCAAATTTCTGCATTTTACAAAATTTGCATTTACTGTGCTAACAACAAAAAAGCATACAGAAAATACAGTGTCAATACTCTGGCTCCTCGTCCAGTTTTAGGGTGCATTAATGATGATCTCATAATGGTACCCAACATCTCCAAACTGGAAGACCATGCAGTAAAGCATGATTTACCAGGAGAGGGCAATGCAACTACACATGCAGTTGGTGTATACCAATGAATTCCAGACCTCCTTCATACATTGAAATGCTGAAGATAAATACAGGTCCTTTAATTTTATATTCATAAAATATTATTACTCTGTCTTACATTCAGATGAATGTTGATAAATACATATACTAATGATTTCTTTCACAAAGAATTAGGTAGCCTGGTACCAGCTTAGGAAGAGGATTGGAAAGATTAATAAAGAGGTTTTTGTTTTGCCCACATTAGAGACAAAGCAGAAGCAGAACTTTTTACTCAGTACCAATCCAAACTGCAAGCAGTTCAAATTAAGTAGATAGGAATAATCTCTCCTTATGTAAAAGAAACAAAGCCCTGGCAAAAATCGCCTGCAGGTACGCCTGCATTAGCATCTTGTTTCAGATCAGGAGTGTTCTTTTGAAGTGAATCATCCAATCATCTCCACTTACCAGGTTTTGTTTCATATTTTGAAGATGTCTCGGAGTGCCAACCACTCCTTTTGGATGAAATTAAAAAGGTAGATGCACTCTAACCACAAGCAGGCATGCAGTCTAGACCTCAGCTAATCCAAAGGAACTCCTCTTGTCTTCAAACACATGGAGTGAAGTCTTTGGGTCCTCAGTGCTTTAATTATTGTGCTCCACAAATCTGCTTCTACTGGACTGTACTACCTGCCAAGGGAGCTATAACCTACCACTTCAAAAACATCCATCTTATGTTCTCATAACCAGGGATAGAGACATCATTTAATGAAGTTATCCTGAATTGTGGAGGTCCATGCAGAATGGGATTCCACCATGGCCAACTCTGAATTTCTCAAACCAGACTCAGTTTCGCAAAGTACAAATGCAAATGCCTTTCCATACACGTCACTCTGGGCACTGGTGTCTCCACATTGCTGAACAGAAACATAGATCTATGTTAGAACAGCCTGGAACAGCTCAGATTTCTCGTTTTAACGATCTAAACACTTACATGATATATAGCTGATATTTATGCAACAAATCTTTACATGATTTTTAAGGAAGGTGGGGGGAGACAAGCAATCCCCTTCCCAAAATGTTTCAGGTAATTTTCTGCACTTTGACCACACACCATTTCCACCTCCTAAGTAATACACAAATTATAAGGTTCCTGCAACAATGAGTTTTAGAAGTCACCTATATTCCTTTTAAAAAGTAATCTTTTCTCTAATACTGCTGAGAACTGCAGTTTTTGGCAGATGTCCTAAACACCGTTCCTGTTGCAGTCTCGGTCAAAACTGTCTAGGCTCTGTGCCAGCATTGTAAGAACAAGCCCTCAATTTTAATTTAGGAAGCTGGCAGAGGAGAAGCGGGGAGAAGCATAAGCAACTTGTCCAGGGAGACTATCTAAAGCTTAAAATTATTCCCAAAGAACATCAAACAGGTATACCCAAACACACACTTACTCTACACAAGGAAAAATTACAAGAAAGCAAGGCTTGGTAAAAATATCAACAAAGTGATGGAAGTCCAGAGATTCAATGCCTGACACTAATCTTAACTCACATTACCAAGCTCTTCATTGTTTACTGGCTTCATCAAAACAGGGGGGTGAGTTAAGGACAAAGTGACAACATTTCAGTATTTTGGCCTTCAATTGTGTCACAACATTGATGTTTATCTAAATATGTGTCTACCACCCTTCCCCCATCTTAAAGAGCTTGTTTTGGCTGTTGTTTTGGTAAAAATCACTTGGGATCATACATTTTTCCAACACAAGATACAATTAACTAAGTGAGGTTTTTGGAAAACTCAATGCAAGTCTTTTTGTTTTTTCATTCACTTTAAGAACAATATGCCCACCCAATCACCTGCAAAAAGAAACCTTTATAGCTCACCACTCATATTTATGTCTCTAAGGGAACCAGGCTCAGGTTATAGACTCAATAAAAGGTAGAAGCTTTTCTCTTACAAACTTTACATGGTTTACTGTGTAATCTTATTCAGTAATACACCACCCTACAGTACATACTGTCTTGTGGTCACTGAAACTGTTAGATCTTTTTTGTATTTTAAAAGCAGGACTGATTAAACATAACTGGCAGATAACTGCCTTTTCTTTTTAATTGCTCATTAAACTATGATTTCTGCAATGTCCCCCAAAAGTTCAACCCTGTGCAGCAAAGAGGTGCCTTGCTTTGTTTCCACTACTAGCAGCAGCATCTCCTTTATTTTAAAAAGAAATTCCAGATTTCAAGGGTTGCACTAATTACTAAAGTTAAACGACCTAGATAATTTAATCGTAACCCCCTTCCTTGCCAAAAAAGTACCGCCTGCAGAACCTTGGAGATTAAAGAGGCATTTAAAAGAACTAATTGATTCCCATACTAAGCAAATTTTTAGAGGCTAAGCAGTATCTCAACTTTTGCCCACCTTTGACAATATCGATAAAATATTTTACTTTACTTTCGTATTGTCCCATGCTCTCTTTTCCTTAGTCTCTTTTTATTATCTGCTCCCCCTGCAAAATCACTATAGCGCCAGAGTCTAAAAACAGTTGGAAGAGCTATGATGTTTATCTTGGCGATCTCAGAAGGGTGGGGAAGAAACAGAAGAGAAATGGAGTTTATATGTCTCTCCCTTGTTTCCTCCTCCTGGCTTCACGTATAGCTGAGTCTTTGCTACCAATCCCTCCTTATAGCAGCACCGAACTCACTTGCACATTGAAAAAGAGGAATAAGGAGCATAATGTGACCTGGAAAGCTATTTGGGATTTTGTATTATTTGTTATGTAAACACGTCACGGGATGCAAATCAACATTTGGTCCTGGTTGCGTCCTCATTAAACATAACGAGGATTTGGAAAATCAGACTGGGTGTAGTTTTTCCATCATGGCTAAGTGAACAGTTGAAACAGCGACTCAAGCAAGAGGTCATTTAAGGACAACTGGAATTTGACCCTGCATTTCCTGAGGAGCCAGAGGATTGGTTTCACTTCAGCTCTGTGTCATACCCAGCTCTGGCCTGAAGAATTGTTTTGAAATCCTCCCACCTCTGAAGCTCGCACTGCATATTCCATCTACATATATATAAACGCACACGAGATCTTAGGAGGTGAAAAGTATGGCAGAACAATATTGTACATGTACATTCATTTTCTTTTCTCTTCAGGTAGTGTATGCAAATTGCATGCTTACCATATCACAAAAGTATGATTTACATATTTGTAAGTTTTACAGAATTATAATTTTAACAGATTTATAAATCGGCTTTTAGTCATCACACTACTATGCATGAGAGAGTAATAGATTAAAAAATAGGCTTCTACCTACAATGAATGAGTGCCAAACACAGATGTTTGAGAAAGCTTTAAAGGGAAATTTGAAGAGTGTCATGGCCCCAAAAAACAGAATCTCAAGGCACTGCCCACTTAAAAACAATTAAAAAAATTTTAAAAAGTCTATCTGGGAATAATTAACGTCTCCCCTTCTCTACAGCTACCTAAAGTCTAGACATGTTGCCTCTTCTTTGAAACAGAGATCAAGACACAGCATCCCCCAAATACCTTCAAACAACCCAGCTTTGGCTCCTGTTGCCTCCATAGGAGCTGCTGGATATTCAACTGCTTTGGAAGACAGCTCATATTCAAGTAGCCAGACACATATTTAAGTGCTTTGCTCTGCATTTGCCAGTGGATTCGTACATGTTGTTTTCCTTCCTGAGATGTGCTGGGGCTACAGGGAACTCTTTTTAAATGGGCATGGGAATGAGAAACACAAGCGGAAGAGGGCTTCTGCCCCTCGAGCTCCAGCCTCCTATCTCTACCTCTTCTAGCCGCCTCCTTTGCTCCTTCTGCTGCTCAATGCGCTTCTGCCTCTCTGCCAGCAGCTGCCTCTTGTACTCCTCCTGCTCACGAAGCTGCTGCTCCTGCAGCAGCTGCTGTCTCCGAAGGGCCTCGGACCGTTCCTTGTTTTCCTGCTGTAGCCTCAGGAAATCACGTCGGAGGGTTGATTCTCCAGGCACATTGACAATGGAACTGCAACAAGAGGAAGTTAAAGCCTCCCGTACAATAAAGCCTGATGGGCCATTAAATACCTTTTCCAAAGCAAGGGAACATTAATAAAATATAACATGATGTTAAATTTTAATCTCGTTTCTTTCGGAGCGAAGACACTGGATGCATGTCAAATATATGCTCTCAGAGGAAGGCGTGAAATGAGGCCAAGCAAAATAAGGACCAACTGACATTTTGGAGTCCCTGACCAATCATATTTGGCATAAATCTCCTTCCATCCAGAGCTCACTGGCTCTAAGCCATACAAGGGGGAGCTTTAAAACCTTTAGCAGTCACAGAACAGGTATTCAAACCCTTTGAGTGGTTTGTGTGGCTTCTGTGTGCACCTAATAGGAGACAGAAATGCTTCAGATTTATAGTCACAGATCTAGACTTACTTGATGTGGACTGTCCAGAGCCCTCCCAACAACAATTATTACCTTGGTTCTCCTTCTTGTTCAGGCACTTCCTCCTCTTCTTCCTCACTTCCACTGTATTCATACTCTGTCTCATCTAACAGGAAAGAAACAAAGGCCTAGATAGTGCTTATCTTTAATTTCAGGACGGCAGGGAGTTGCAGTAGCGCCTTAGTGAACCAGTTTCTATTCCCTTTTGTGAGAAGATCTGTCACAGAGCCTAGAACTCATTCTGCACATACAAGTTCATCTTCCCACACTGTAAAGCAGCACAGTGCTTTGCAGCAGACCTTCAGCAAATGCCATGAACACCACTACATTTTATATGTAAGAGAGGACACCTGGAGAACCTCGGCACCACCTGCATAAAGAGAACAGGCTGCCCAAGACATTTGCTTTATAGCTCTTGTGATGGGTTATTTCCTGCGAGTCTGACTTATGGCACCATTCCAGGAATGAACCTACCACAGACCAAAAAAGGGAAAGACATATATGCCAATATCCTCCTAAATACTGTTTAATGGTTGTATGGAAAAGGCAGTGTCCCAGGAGCAAGTAAATTTAACTTATCTGAAAATAAGACACTTGAAATTGATACTTTCTCTGTAGAGGACAGAACAAAACCTAAAAGCCTGCTGATAGTCAAAACATGAATTCAGAAAGAACTTTTCAAGGGTTTGGGTTATTTGGAGCTTTTCTAGGGGTGGGGATTTAGAATGCAAGGCAGGACAAAAATATATATTTTTAACAAGCTGCAATACTTGATTTTCAGAAGCTGCATACCTTTCTCTCCTCTCTTCTTCCTGGTCCTGTCTATATGGTCCTTAAGCTGGATTCGGACTTGCCTTTCATTTGGTTGGTCACGTATAAAGGGATGTTTCAAGAGCTGCTCTGTAGAAGGTCGCTGCATGTAATTCTTCACTAGACAACCTTCTATAAAGCTGAAAAACTTTTTTGACCTGAGAAAGCAGAGAGGGAAAAAAGCCAAACCAAAACAAGATCACAGGTAAAACTCAGCTCAAACATTTTTTCTGTTCTTGTTGAAAGTCTAATTCCTTTCCTTAAAGAGCATCACATCCCAGGGGATGGTACAAGTGCTGTATACAAGTGTGCCTCCTAAACAGAGCTGAGTGCGCTCCAGCTGAGAACTGGGCTGGATGGACACAGGGCGATACCAACATCCCTGCCGTGCTTAGGCACAGCCTCACAGTAATGTGCCCTCTTTCACAGGCATAATTGCCCTGAAAGGTAGGATCTATTAGAGAAGGCAAATCATGCAAACCCAGCTCTGCGACTCCTGGGCCAGATCTGGGTAGCATCCAGTTTGCTTGGAGCACAGGCAGGGCAGCACTGGTGTGTTTCCACCTGCCCATGATATCTAAGGGCACGTCTGCTTCAGAACAGACGTACCGAAAGCCATAAGAACTGTGGCCAACATTTCCCTGACACAAGCAGCACCGCGCTGCTTTTGTATGCACCTGGGCTCACTGAGATAGGTCTGTGAGAATTTAAGATTATTGTATGTTCTATCTGAAGAGCCGCACACACAAAAAAACCTCGTAGAACAAAAGGCGGGTGTCGAACAGTGTTGTCTGTTCAACACAGGCACTTGGGTCAAATTCTCACCAAGGCAATTTAAGGACATGAACTGAACGGAGTTCCTCCTGCACATCACATAAAGTGACAGTGTATGGAAGTTAGCTAAGCTGTAGCACCACCTTCCTAAATTTGCCCTTCATCTGAACTCTTGAAAGAGGACCTCTCCAGATACAGGTCCTCAGACAAGCTGCCTCGTAAAATGTCAATAATGGAAATACTTAAAATTACATTTTTGATCATTTGGCCTGTTTTCTCATAACCTGCCAATGAGCACACTACCAAAACAGTTGAGTCACAGCAGCACTGGCTTTGGCCAGAGTCTCTTTTTGATTGCTAGGTGCTCTCAATCTGCTTCTGTGCTTGGGCGGCAAATACCTCCACTACGTGGTTAAGTCCATTGCTTCACTTTCTCACTGTAATCTAAGAGGCTGAATTCAAGGTAACTTTGTTGTTTGTTCTTTTTAAATTCCTCACGTCTTAAGTGTTATTGTTCTAAATAAAAAGGTTAATGAAAGGCTTATGCAAATACTGTATATGCATCTCTACTCCTTTAACATATGCAGAGAGCAAGTAAGAGAGAGGGAGAGGGATGCCTTGACAGTACAAGTGCATAAATAAGTCAATCCAGGCAATGACCAAGCCCAGCAAGCAAGTCGAGTTTATATTATGTTGATATTGAATAGACAGTCAAAACACTTCATTATTTTGACAGGATCACAGCATCCTGTGGTCACATTCAATCTATACGAAACCCCTTTCTAGGGAGTATTTCTGTTTCATATGTGCCAGTTGTAACCAGTAACTGGGAGGAAATCCTCCGATACTAATGGATTCTTCTCAGCTGGCAAGAAGCACACACTCAATTCCAATCGTTTACAATAATTATAGTAAAAGCCTTCATTAGTTTTAATAGCTCCTTTCAACTTAGCAACTAGAACACTACAGTACTGTTCTGCTTCTGTGTTACGATACATCTGAGAAAACATACTGCATATTAAGAGTGCTGCGGGAGTTCATTTTTAAAAATATGGATCCATTTGTCATCTTAATACAGACGTTGCTCTGTCAAGAAAAAAAAAGCTTGTTTTTTGTTTTCACGCAATTCGAGATAAAATTTCTCTGGGACAAACAGAACTAAATAAACAATGAACACTTTTTATTTCAGGCTTTGATTCGGTGGCACAGAAGATATCAACAGTGATTTTTGCTAACTTAAATTGCTTTACAGTTCTGTGGAAGCGGTAACAAAATAGCATGCAACGAGACCAGAAAGAATCACGCTACAAAAGGGGCTACAAACAAGAAATAACTAATACATACCATTTCTTGGATTTTAACCGTGGGGGAGGGTTCCTGGGTATCAGAAAGAGTGCCCTCATGGGATGCATGTCACAAAGCGCTGAAGGAAAGAAAACAAAACCAAACAGAAATGTATAGACATTGGCTTAGTCACTCTCTGTCAATACCATGGCTTCAGCTTCCACAACCATTCCCACCATCCCAAACACACATGCAGCAGATGCAGACAGCAACACAACTAAATGGAATTAGCCTGAAACGACAATTCCATAGCTCAATGTGCCAAGGGCGGCCCCAAAAAGAGAAAGAGATTGAGGCATCTGTTAATCTTCAGACAAAACCACGATGGGAACACCTGTGCGCAGCCTTCCTCCAGCCCCAAGCCATACAACTTATGTTCTGGTCAATAAAACACTGGGGGAGGACGATGGCGGAAGGGAAGAACGACACGGTTACTGTTACAAACAAACTTAACTGCACCCGTCCTCCTCTCCCACCACACAAGCAATTAAAGCAGGACGCCTCATTTTTACTCTCCAGATTTGGAGCTTTTCTCTATTCCAAGGCCTGATGGTTTTGAAGCATAGGAGCGTCTGTACCAAAAAAAGAATTCCCTGCAGAACTGAAATGCAAACCTATGACTTTTGTCAAAAGCAGTCCCCTTGGTTTCAGCAGACACTTAGTCCATTAAGGACAGACTTTCCTCCTGCTCTAGAGCAAAAGCACCACAGCAGAGCCAACACAGGGAAACAAGGGAGCAGGGAGGGAGGCTGCCCAAGAAAGGACGCTAGAAGCAAATCCTCTGTTTTTACCATCTTCCTACGTTGAGAAACAGACTAATGTGAAAAGGATTCTGGATGCAGAAATAAAGGGCCACAACCTTGGTAGAGAGGCCTCTTGGATGCCTGTGGGTTGCATTGGACCATCAAGCTTAGAGATGGACCCTTCATTCATCACTGAAGGAGGAGGCAGAGTCCACATTCCAGAGGACAGACCAAGGCAAGGGCTGTTCAGCATTTACGTTGGATCTTTGCTATCTGTTCAAATGCTCCTCTTGTGCTTTTAGACAAAGAGGGGCCAAGTTCTGCTTCGGTTTGGAAATTAAAATGTATTAGTCTCCAGTTCCAGGCTTACAAAACCCACAGACACAGCTTTTAATTGAAAGCCACCCAGGCAACCCAATGTACTGAACAAAAAGGTAGGGCAAAAAGGAGGTCAAGTGGTAGCTCAAATGCTGTTAATACAGCGCTGGCTGAGGTGACCTGGGAGCAGCTCTCACATGGGCATTCATGCAAACGTGCAATTAGGAAGGGAAAAAAAAACCAACCGAACTAGCAGACCTCCTACATCATGAATCAAAACAAGAGTGTTGTGCTTTGATTTATAAATTTTACATTAACAACCACAACCAAAAAAAATCAGGCAGTGGCTATGGTGAAATGACCATTTTTTAGCCAGGAAAATATCAATACTTCATTTCAACCTGATTACTTCAAAGACAGAGGTTTCAAGCTGGGCTGTGGTGTGGTGGTTGTTTATGTGTAAAAAAAATTTAATTAACTTGCTCTTAGGTACCTCAGGCTGTTATTTTTTTTTTAAATCCAGAGCTCCAGTTGGGGTTGGGAGTAAGCATATTTGCTAGTTCAATAAAGACTTTCATAAAAATGACCATTAAAAGCCAAAACATCATGCCCAATTTATTTTCTTTTTAAATCTTTCTGTCCTCCTTGCATATATCTGCTGTCTGCCTTGATATTCAAAAAGAGTATGTGAGCAGAAAATAAGCTATCAAAAAGTTGTGCATTTTTTGTTTCCAGATTTCTCTCTTCAAAAATATCCATATCAACTGATAAGTATTCTCAAGCAGGGAGCATTAATTTCAACATTCTGTGTTGAAGATGGATTTACAGTTTAAGTCATGTCACTACTAAGGAAGACCGACACCGCCCACCAATGAGTAGAAATGAAAGGAAAAGCATATTACCATTACCCAAACTGATGGAAAGCTGGCACAGAAACAATTGCTACAGACGCTTTTTTCATTAAGGTCAGTTTACTCAAGGCCCCACTGTACCTCTCCCCGGCTGAGGTTTCAGCATCCCAGGCCAGGCCGTACACAAATCGGGACACAACTCCAAAACACAATATACACTACCCACAGGAAGGAATTCTGATGCTCGATTAGCTTCCAAATATTCCTGCTATAGAAATTAAATTACTGCAGTCTGCACTGTAGTGCTTAAACACAACTCTATCTTTATCAAAAGCACCGCTATTTATGGGATTTTATATTTATAGGACAAGCAAAACCAAAGAGAACAGAAATAACATGCGGATACTTTCAGAAACCTCAAAACTAGGCTTAGATTACAACCAGCATCTCCCAAGTATACGTTTCAGTCTTAATCAGCCCACTGGAGAAGCACACGTATCACTTACGGGGAGCTCCTTCTGCCATCTCTATGGCTGTAATGCCACATGACCAAAGGTCACTCTGCATAAAAAGAGAGAGACCATATGTTAGTACGTGGATTTACCCATTCAGACAGTACGACAGCACTATTTACAGAGGCCCTGTAGGTGAGACTGAAACCAAACACCAAGGCTATTGAAATAATATAAGCTACTTCTTGTTTTTGTAACAGCATCATAAAATCCTACTTGTCATATTATACATATATATACACACAAATGCGCACACATGTTCATACAGAGTGTGCAAACAACCCTTTCTAGTAATACATAAAAATATATTCACATTAGAACAATGAAAAATACATTGGCCCCAAAGCTAAGTCTATGAAACAATAGAATTTTCAATGCTTTTTTACAAAGGATTGAACATTTCCTTATAGTAGATTCACAGAAACCACTGTACCCATTCCCCCAAACAAAAGATGGAGATATGAAGACTGTGGGGTAAAAAAAAATAAAATAAAAAAAAAAAAATTGGCAGGTCTTTTCAGTGTCTAAACCAGAAAACAAACAAATACAGATTAGTGGAATACACCCAGTCCTTAACTTTTTTCTAGTCTCAAAAATCAAGTAATAGTTTTATCCAGGGGAACAGCCATCACTGCTAAACTTGCAAGTCTCTGCTGGACACGTTGCCTGCAGCCAAAGTGAACGCTCCTTCCCTACCATCTCAGCTTTGCTTGAAACATTATGAAACAAGAGTCTGCCTTCCAGTGGGAGCCTTTCAAGCTACCACCTCTGTCCAGCAGCCCTGACTAGGGAGAGCCTGAGCGAAAGCCAGGAGGGTCAAACGCAAGCAAGAGCTGGAAGAGTCCTGGCAAGGAACCAACTCCAGAGACTGCCACAGCTTAAGGGGCAAAACACGGGAGAAGGTTGCTGAAAGAGAATTGCTCTTGAGCAAAGCGGTCTTCATTTCTGGTGATAATAATCATTTTTTTAAAAGATTAGTTGAAACTAATAAGCAAATAAGCTTTTTTTTTGTACTACAAGCAGCGAAGCAATTCTAATGATCGCATTTTCAGACCCAGCAAGGCAATCTCTTCTCTGGGTCCAATCCAGCCATTTAAGCTAAGCTGCACAGCATCATGATCTTACAAAATCAACTATTAATATTTTGGGGGAGAGAGATCTACAGGCTCCACCAGGAAAAATAAACAGGTGTTTTCAGAGGCAGGAGTTATTTTTCACATCAATGCTGCATTAACAAATACTGCATAGTTTTTCTCTTTTATCAGATCATTTAATAGCCACCCTTCCTTCCTAATAACTCCATCTGCAAAGATATAAAGTGCTATCTCTAGTACAATGAGTTGATGGATGTAAAAAGCAATTAAATCAAGAGAAATAGGATCAATCTGATCAATCTTAGTCAAAAGGTACAAAAAGAACAATTGAAATAATCTGTTTTTTTAAAATAGGTTTAGACACACGCAAACATACCGATAGCTAACATCACTGTCAGTCTCAGCAAATTGATATAATTAATATTCAGCTCTCAAATTCAGTGTAAGGCCTTTAGCATCGCCTTTCTGATATCTTCGTTGCCCTTTGATAAAAGTTGGAACAACTGCATATGCCTAAGAGAAGATCTTTTTAAAAGCATATTATCACATTTTTTTCTTTCCTTGTGTTTTCACTGAAGCAAGCTGAGAAGAACTTTTAAGATTACAGGAGGCTTTCACTAGCGAAATCTAACTTGAAATACACATACATAATATTCTTAAGGGTAGTGCAAATATCATTAAGCCAATTACGGTTTTGCAGTAATTAAATCTTTGGTTTGCAGCAAACTATGTAAAACATTATCTTTGTTGAGAAACGTTGTGATAGATAATTTTTCTTTTTTTTAATGTGTATATGTATCTTGCAATCAGGAATAGGTACAATTTAAAGAGCACCTTCTGTACTTCACCAGCTCTCCAGACGGTGGTTCTATTTAAGGCAATACCTAAAATGCATTGTTCTGGGTTACTACAATAACTGGGACATAGTCTAACACAATTTAAAGTACAATCATTATACAAATTGAGAACACCAGAGTTTCCAGTTAAACTCTTTTTTGCCTTCTCTAAGCATCTACAGCACACAGAAGTCCTACTCCTCATGTCTCGAAGCTATGACAATACAAGTAATGGCAATTGTTAAAGGTCACAGTTTGGCAGTGACCCATACCTTGTACTCCTGTAATAAGTATATACCTACACAAAATAATATTACTCCTACAAAGCCTAAGAAGTCTCAAAAACTGCCATCATTCATAGACACTCATACTACAAGTGTAGAGTTTTTGTATGTTGGGTTGTTGTTTTTTTTTTTTTTCCTGTGAACAGGATTCTCTTACTCTGTAATCATACGTAGCATCTGGATTTTCATCACAGGCAATAACTTCTGGAGCCATCCAGTACGGAGTTCCAATAAAAGTGTTTCTCCTGCCAACTGTCCTGTCCAGCTGAGCGCTCACACCAAAATCCACTGCGGGTGGGAAAAGAGTAAAATAAATTAAGAGGGGAAAAATAATGCAGTGATTACTTTTGTAAGGTGATTTGCAAATAAACCCCTGTGGATGTTACATGTGGGAGGATCATGCTGAAGAGAAAGGCAAGTCCTTGTGCTTCACATGCAACCTGCTTGGGCCACAAGCGTCAAGAGACCTGGCAGCGTACAAGCACCTCTTCTGTCCCTCTCACCAGCCTGCCTGTACAGAACGGAGCGTACAGCTGCAAAAATACTGCCTGAGAGGCTGAGGAAGGGCTATCTCCTTCCCGAATGGTGAAGTCAAACACCTTTGTCTACACAGAGGGAGCTGCTTCCCAAAGGTACCTCTCATGCTATGGGAAAACCACACACGTGAACACATCTCCTTTTCAGCTGTCCACCTTTTTGGCTCTGAAATCTGACAGCAAAAATAACCTGTTGCTCAACAAATCACTCTCTGCTCTAACGCACAGAGCAGATATGTCGATAGAAGCAAAAGATGAAGATTGTTCAAGGGGTACTAGCTTTGAGCACACAGGCCGCAAAAGAGATGCCCATTTCATTAAAGGGCAATTACATTACAAGGGTGTTTTCTTCTCTCCAGCGCTCTCCGCTCAAGACAACAGTGATATATGCCTTTCTATACCAGTAACTGCATCTGCTCTAGGACGGCTGCGTCAGCTTCACTGCATCCATCATCTGAGTGACACTGACAAGACAATCTCGGTGGGAGCAACGGTTTGGGAGCTACCATGTTCCACTTTGGACCAAAAAGAGGAAAGCTCTCCCAAGAGCTTCCTCCTCCAGCAGCCAGGACATCTTCCCATGCCTCGTGCTGCAGGAAGGTGTAATGCAAAACAGAAGGGATGTGGGCTGGGTGGGAGGGCTTCAGCATGGCTCTATATTTAACCAAAAAAAGGTGGCGAATGTAGCGTGATACAAACACAGAAGGTTAAAGTGTGTGGAAACTGGAAGAGACAGATTAGAGAGGAGGAAAAAAGTGTACGTCCACTTGGAAGGGAGATAAGAGGCCAGGGATGAGCACAGTTTTCGGTAGGCATGTGTCATGGTTTGATGCGGGGGGCGGAAGGTTCTGGTGGCAGGAGCTGCCCACCA